AGGCTGAAGGATTCAGGCTGTTTATACTCCAAACCAAAGATGGACATAAGGTGATGTTTACTGTCCTTGTCTCACTTTACCTTCACTCTCCTCTAGAGGGACAATGACAGAGATCATAAAGTTCGATTGGCTTTGGGGAATGGGATCCGGGCCGACACCTGGGCTGAATTCCTGCAGCGATTTGGGGATATTCATATTTGTGAATGCTACGGATCGACAGAAGGAAATATCGGCTTTATCAACTATGTTGGGAAGATAGGGGCCGTTGGCAAAGAACATTTTATACACAAAGTAAGAGAGGGGGCAAATACTTTATTCTTATTTTGAGACGATGGTAGCATTTAGAACAATAAAATGAATAAGCATAACAGGCCAGTCAGTTTTATGTTCAGTGTGTTTCAATACCTTTAATTATTCTTTAGATGAGATATCCATATGCCCTTATAAGGTATGACCCAGAGAAAGAGGAGCCAGTCAAAGACTCCAGAGGATTTTGTATCAGAGTCCCCAGAGGTGAGCTAGTCTCCTCCACAAATATGACATTTTGTTGAGCTTTTCACACCAATAATATTGTGCTTGATGCTTTACCTTGCAGGAGAAACTGGTTTGTTGGTGTCAAAGATCGGAGAAAGAACACCTTTCAGTGGCTACGCCAAGAACGAGCACCATACAGAGAAGAAGAGGCTGAGAGATGTGTTTGTGAAGGGAGATCTGTACTTCAACAGCGGTGACCTTCTAAAGATAGACAACGAGGGATTTGTCTTCTTTCAAGACCGTGTTGGAGACACCTTCAGGTGCATAGATAAAACAACCTGAACACTCAGAGGCTGATCCACTAATGAAGACAAGGGGCCCACATTTGGAAACAGTGTTAGTTAGTAATGTCAAAGGCAGAACAAAGCCTGGACTGGATCAACAGTTGACCTTGGTAGATACACATTATTTAGGGTTTGGAAGTTTTCTCAACTCCAGTTCATATGATTTTACTGGATATAAGACTGTCTCTTTGTACTTGTGAACATTACTATAAAATTTAGTTATAATCCATTGAGTGAAGATTAAGAATTGTTATTTAATCCTTATTTCAACATAACTTGAATATTTTGAACTATGCTGGTTTCTAACTAAACAGTTCTGGAGCTAAGTTATACATATACTGTCATTGCACTGTCGTCTAATACAGGTGGAAAGGAGAAAATGTGGCAACCACAGAAGTGGCAGATCTTTTGCTCATGGTGGACTGCATTGAGGAGGCTAATGTCTATGGAGTGAAGGTGCCAGGTAACAATGAAAGCATTAGCAATGATTTGAGATTTAATAATGGCATAGTCACTAGACAATAGAAAGCTGTTATGTCAATGAAAACAAATGTCCAACATATGACAATGTTTAGTAGAAGCCGTTCATCTGACCCCTGCATGACGCTTTGAGCCTGTTTGCAGGTTTAACATTTAATACAGCCCCTTGGAACGACATCTAACTATATCTAACCTTTCACATGCCCATCAATCACTGTAATCATAAACCATGTAATCCTGCAAATTAAGGTAAAAACATGAAAACAGACAAACTCAGAGTTGGTGCTCATTTACTTTGCCACACTATGAAACCTGTGAAAATGTGTCTATACATCCTGAAATGAGTCCTGTTTTTTTTACTTTGACTGTATCTGATTAGGACACGAGGGAAGAACTGGAATGGCAGCACTCAAGCTTAAGGAAAACATGGACTTTGACAGTAAAGCTACATACCAGCACGTCCAAAATTTCCTCCCCAGCTATGCAAGACCACGCTTCATTCGCATACAGGTAAACAGTCATGTGGAAATTATTTACAAGATTATAGCATTTAACATAAAATCAGGAATATGTATAACAAGGTCTTGGCACCATTATGGAACCATTTATTTTTGTGTGGCAGGACAGAATGGCAATGACTGGGACATTTAAACAAATTAAGGTGACACTGGCAGAGGAGGGCTTCAACCCTACCATCATCAGAGACCCTTTGTTCTACCTGGAGAACAATAAGGGCTACGTACCCATGACTCCGGAGATATTCGACTCCATCTCAGATGGAAGAATGAGCCTGTGAAAGACTTCAGTGTTTTTATTGGAAAGCCAACCTTAAATAATACATCTGATTTTAGTTTTAGCTGATAGGAGGACCACAGTGTACTGAAATGTTTAAAGGGGTATAATTTTGTTTAAAATACTTTGAATAAAAAATATTTTAAAGACATGATTGTAAATGAGCAAAGTAATCCCAAGTCACTGACACATTAAAGTTGCAGTCATCACTTTGCCAAGAGCTGAATCTACTGGTTTATCAGTGTATTGATGCCAATTAATTAATTTATTTATACTATTATATACAATTAGCTGAGTTTCTGTCTAAACCTACATGATCATTGAAGTACTTTGAAATACTTTTTTTTTTCATCAAACTTCTTAAGAAGACAGGCTCCATGTCCATGATTTTCCACATGTGTTGTGGAAAATCATGGACCTAACCCCTAACCCTAACCTTGTCTAACCCAAGCACAGTCAAAGACTCCAGAGGATTTTGTATCAGAGTCCCCAGAGGTGAGCTAGTCTCCTCCACAAATATTATATTTTGTTGAGCTTTTTGCTCTCAATAATGCTGTGCTTGATTTTTTTTTACCTTGCAGGAGAAACTGGTTTGTTGGTGTCAAAGATCATATTCAGCACACTAATGTTGAGCTCAACAACCAAAAACAAAATGCTGCATAACTATATAAATAAACAATAGGGCCGTAAAAGTTTCACCATTCACTACGGACATCCACATACTACTGAAATTGTCAACACATGTCAAGCAAAATAGGTCATCTAAAATAGACCTAATAGCTCCAGATACTCAGTACTAAAGGAGCATCAAAACCCATTAGACAGAGTTCTTCAAAATACCTACTAGAGAGTATTAAAACCCAGTAGACAAAATAGGTCACCTAAAATAAACCTAATACTTATCCACTCAGTACTAGAGGAGCGTTAAAGCCCATTAGACAGAGTGCCCCAAAATACCTACTAGAGAGTGTTAAAACCAAGTATGCAAAATAGGTAATCTAAAATAGACCTAATACCTATTATATACTCAGAACTAAATGTGCATTAAAGTCCATTAGACAGAGTACTTCAAAATACCTACTAGAGAGTGTTACAACCCAGTAGGCAAAACAGGTCATCTAAAATAGACCTAATACTTATTATCCACTCAGTAGTGTAGGAACTGTAAAGCTCACCAAAAAAATAACCCCCTACCTTAAACCACACGCTCTCATCACCCTGGCCCCAAACTTAACCATCTGGGACTTAATGTCTAATCCTAACCCTGACACCCTAACCCCTCTCCCCTTAAGCCCAACCCATATCCCTACCCTGAACCTAACCATTTCATATTTCAGGCCTTAAACATAACCTCAGACCTTAAACCGCCCAAGCGCGATACCCTGACCCTAACCTTAAAATTAGGGATTTGCCTACTGGGTTTTAACATTCTCTAGTAGGTATTTTTAAATACTCTAATGGGCTTTAACACTCCTTTAGAGTATAAACAGCCTGAATCCTTCAGCCTGCCTCCTTTTTAAGTTTCATCCAGTTTTCCACAGGGTTAGGTTAGGGAAATTCTTCAACTCTCCCCGTACTCATTCGTTGACTATACGGTTTGGGATGGAGGGTCAAAGTTGAGGGCACGGGCTGACGCTTGTCACTCTGGCTCATGTAACGGTGTGCTGCCCTGGCTTGTGCTTTCCTGTCTGGTGTGGTTTTATATACGTGCTGTGGGTTGTGTTTGCTTTGTTAAGTTTTGGGTGCTGGATCAGATGATGTTTCCATTTTAGGACGTTACGTTTCCGTGGGGTGTTTTGTCTTTGCGTTTGGATCTCGTTGAAATGTGTGTGCGTGCATGTGTGAGTGTCTGTGAGTGGGTGCGGTGGGGGGGTGGTTATGTTATGTTTTGTGGTACTGGGTTAAGTTTAGGCATTGGGCTTGGGAAGGTTATGGTCAGGGTCAAGGTACGGGTAGGGTTTATAGGGCCTGTGTCTAAGAAAGGGGTTAAGGTTAGGCATTGGCCCCTGGGGTGGTCAGGGCAAGGATATGGGTTGGGTCTAAAAAGGATTTTGGGTCCTAGAAAGGGGGTTAAGGTTAGGCATTAGTGTGGGATGGTTATGGTCGGGTTAAGAAATATGGAATATGAACTTATTGGGTCTAAGGGGAAGGAATTGGGGTTCGAGGCCCTGGTTAGGTTTAGGTGTTGAGTCCCAAGTGGATGGGACTCAATGCCTAAACCTAACCAAGGCACCTAACCAACCAGCTCCTCTCTCCTTAGACCCAAACCCTGCCCTACCCTGACCATAACCATTCTATATTCATACCCTAATCATAACCTCTGACCACCCAACTCTATCACCCGGGCCCTAATCTTACCTGTGACCCCAAAATAAAACATAGCTGCCATAGACACGCGCACACGCACACACACACACACTTAAACAAGATCCAAACTTGAACGCAAAACTCCCCACGGGAACATAACATCCTAAAATGGAAACATCAGCTGATCCAGCACCCAAAAAGCAAACACAACCCACAGCACTTAATACAACTACACCGGACAAGAAAGCACGACCACCACACCAAAACCCAGGGCAGCACACTGTTACATGAGCCAGAGTGACAAGTGTCAGCCTGTGCCTTCACCTTTGACCCTCTATCCCAAACCATATAGTCAACGGACGATTACGGGGGGAGAGTTGAAGATATCCCCTAACCTAACCCGCCTGTTCCATCGGACAAACAACTCATACATAAACATAAGTACTGCCTCCTCAGAACCATGACCACACCCCTCCCATGGTGCTCCCCATGGGCGAGACTGTACGTTGGACCGACTGTTGGATGACGGTTAATCAACCACCCACTGACGGTCCTTTGCGCAGTTCTCCTCCCTTGGACGCCATGCACTCTACTCAGAGTTGGAGAGTTGTAGCGGTCCAGGGACAAGCCTAACCCGGCAAGGGATGGATGCAGGTTAACCAATCTCCCATCCTGGTCCCTACCCCTCTGTCCTCTATCTGTCTCTCTCTCTCTCTCTCACCCTCTTGTGCACCCCCACCCCCCACCACCACCACCACATGCACGCACCCACACCCTTAAACAAGATCCTGACTCGACCACATGACTCCCCATGGGAACGTAACATCCTAAAATGGAAACATCAGCTGATCCAGCACCCAAACTTAACAAATCAAACACAACCCACAGCACCCTAAACTAAACTGCACCGGACAGAAAAGCGTGACCACCACACCAAAACCCAGGGCAGCACACCGTTACATGAGCCAGAGTGACAAGCGTCGGCTCGTGCCTTTACCTTTGACCCTCTATCCCAAACCGTATAGTCAACGGACAGTTACGGGGAGAGTTGAAGAATTTCCCTAACCTAACCTTAACCCTGTGGAAAACTTGATGAATCTTGAAAAGGGGGCAGACTGAAGGACTCAGGCTATTTCTAGTCTAAACCAAAGATGGACATATAGATAAGGATAAGGATAATCATCTTTACTGGCCAAGTATGTTACACACAAGGAATTTGTTTCCGGTACAGAACCAGTGATGTTTACTGTCCTTGTCTCACTTTACCTTCACTCTCCTCTAGAGGGACAATGACAGAGATCATAAAGTTCGATTGGCTTTGGGGAATGGGATCCATTCTAGGAATGAGTCTTGGCACCATTACGGAACCATTTATTTTTGTGTGGCAGGACACAATGGCAATGACTGGGACATTTAAACAAATTAAGGTGACACTGGCAGAGGAGGGCTTCAACCCTACCATCATCAGAGACCCTTTGTTCTACCTGGAGAACAATAAGGGCTACGTACCCATGACTCCGGAGATATTCGACTCCATCTCAGATGGAAGAATCAGCCTGTGAAAGACTTCAGTGTTTTTATTGGAAAGCCAACCTTAAATAATACATCTGATTTTAGTTTTAGCTGATAGGAGGACCACAGTGTACTGAAATGTTTAAAGGGGTATAATTTTGTTTAAAATACTTTGAATAAAAAATATTTTAAAGACATGATTGTGAATGAGCAAAGTAATCCCAAGTCACTGACACATTAAAGTTGCAGTCATCACTTTGCCAAGAGCTGAATCTACTGGTTTATCAGTGTATTGATGCCAAAGTGGCCTTTGTTGGCATTATATTGATTTGTTACCACTTAGGAACACATAGTGACTTTTTCATCACAGCCCCCGGAAGAGAAATTGGCTCAAAGTTCAAGAGGCGTAAACTGAATTGGTCTGTATATTCAGCTGATATATAAAGTTGAAAGCTGAGCCTTGTAGGACTCTTGTAGGACTCTTGTAGGACTCTTGTAGTATCAGGACTGAGACATTTTCCCTAAACAAAATGATTTTGTACCTTCTGTTTACTGCTTTTATAGGTTTGGCAATTTTGCTGTTATGCCTCTACTTAAGAAATCCTTATGTTTGGAAAGATTTAAGTTTTGCAGTTACTTTAATCCAAATTGCTTTACGCATGAATAAAATCAAGAAACAGAAACCATTTTACAGCATTTTGGAGTGTTTTTTGGAGAAAGTGGCGAGACAGCCGCATAAGAAGTTCATAGTTTTTGAGGAAAGCTCTTACACCTACAGCCAAGCCGACAAAGAAAGCAACAGAGTAGCAAGAGCTCTGTCAACTCATGCTGGCCTGAAGGAGGGGGACACGGTGGCCTTGTTCATGGGCAACGAGCCGCACTATGTGTGGATCTGGCTCGCACTGGTCAAGCTTGGATGCACAGCTTCTCTTCTGAACAACAACATCAGATCCAAATCTTTGCTACACTGCTTCTCCTGCTGTGAAGCCAAGGTCCTGGTCGCTGGTGCTGGTGAGCTGGGAAACTTTTGAGGCTGATGCTGATTTAAGAGATTGTACAGAGTGGGCCACAAAAAAAGCAGCCCGTCAACATGAAGGAGAAAGTGTATTGATTTGGGGGCGGGCTACTTTTCCATAGCCCACTTTGTATAACTATATATTGTTTGATATTTAAAATAATTCCTTTTAAAATGAAGGGAATTTGATCTAAATAGATAGAATTAGACACAGATAGATGTAGTATTGTGTAAATATATATATATATATATATTCATCCAGTATATGCTGCTATACATGCTGTTTTATACTGCATATATAAGTTATTGATTTATTTATTTATACAATTATGTACAATTAGCTGAGTTTCTGTCTAAACCTACATGGTCATTAAAGTACTTTGACATACAATTTTTTTTGTCAAACTTCTTAAGAAGACGGGCTCCATGTCCATGATTTTCCACATCTATTGTTATAGTTTTCTCATCACTGCATCGACCTCCATGAAGCTTCTGTTTTGCTTGTTTCACTCAGACCTGCAAGCAGCTGTAGAGGAGGTGCTGCCTGCTTTGAAACAACAGGGCATCCGTGTATTTATCCTCACTGAGGACTGCAGCGTTGAGGGCATTGAAAGCCTCTGTGATAAAATTCAGCAGGCCTCAGACCAGCCACTGTCACCTCAGCTGAGTGCCAACATTGACATTAAGAGTCCTGCACTGTACATCTTCACATCAGGAACCTCGGGTAATCTGCTTGACTTCTCTGACCTTCACTTCTAATTCAAAAGTTTATATTTTTAGTGTGCAGGTGTTGAAAGACACATGTGTGATAATAAAATTATTCTATGTTTGTTTCTTATGGCAATGCTATTTTGTAGGGCTTCCCAAGGCAGCTATAGTCAGCCATGAGAAGCTATGGATGACGTCTTTTGTGCTGTCACTTGTTGGCGTACGCTCAGATGATATTATTTACATTTACCTGCCTCTCTACCACGGTGGTGGCTTTCTGATGGGACTTTGTGGGGCCATAGAAAAAGGTCATGCATGAGTATTTCCCATATAAAACATTACCAACTTTACACAATGCTTTGCAAAAATATTATAAAATTACAAAACATGATTTCCAGGCTGCAACCTCATTATGACACTGAGTTCATTTAATGTTAAACTAACAGTCTATGACCTCAAATAAAAGGCACTTTGTCTCTGATTTTCTCTGTTTGTGTTTCAAAGTTCATAGATTGCAAAACCTACTGAATTCTGTGTGTGCAAATTTATGTTGTTGAAATCTGTGCTTCCTGATTTCTAGGCATCACTGTTGTTTTGAGGCGTAAATTCTCTGCCTCCCAGTTCTGGAATGACTGTAGAAAGTACAATGTGACAATCATTCAGTACATAGGAGAAATTATGCGCTATCTCTGCAACACACCAAAGGTAAACCTCTGCTCATACTGTCAGAATGAGTAGTATCTAAGGCAGTTCATCTAACAAGATGTTAACTATGTTGTTAAATCAAATACTACTGGATGAAACTTAAAAAGGGTGTAGGCTGAAGGATTCAGGCTGTTTATACTCCAAACCAAAGATGGACATAAGGTGATGTTTACTGTCCTTGTCTCACTTTACCTTCACTCTCCTCTAGAGGGACAATGACAGAGATCATAAAGTTCGATTGGCTTTGGGGAATGGGATCCGGGCCGACACCTGGGCTGAATTCCTGCAGCGATTTGGGGATATTCATATTTGTGAATGCTACGGATCGACAGAAGGAAATATCGGCTTTATCAACTATGTTGGGAAGATAGGGGCCGTTGGCAAAGAACATTTTATACACAAAGTAAGAGAGGGGGCAAATACTTTATTCTTATTTTGAGACGATGGTAGCATTTAGAACAATAAAATGAATAAGCATAACAGGCCAGTCAGTTTTATGTTCAGTGTGTTTCAATACCTTTAATTATTCTTTAGATGGGATATTCATATGCCCTTATAAGGTATGACCCAGAGAAAGAGGAGCCAGTCAAAGACTCCAGAGGATTTTGTATCAGAGTCCCCAGAGGTGAGCTAGTCTCCTCCACAAATATGACATTTTGTTGAGCTTTTCACACCAATAATATTGTGCTTGATGCTTTACCTTGCAGGAGAAACTGGTTTGTTGGTGTCAAAGATCGGAGAAAGAACACCTTTCAGTGGCTACGCCAAGAACGAGCAGCAGACAGAGAAGAAGAGGCTGAGAAATGTGTTTGTGAAGGGAGATCTGTACTTCAACAGCGGCGACCTTCTAAAGATAGACAACGAGGGATTTGTCTTCTTTCAAGACCGTGTTGGAGACACCTTCAGGTGCATAGATAAAACAACCTGAACACTCAGAGGCTGATCCACTAATGAAGACAAGGGGCCCACATTTGGAAACAGTGTTAGTTAGTAATGTCAAAGGCAGAACAAAGCCTGGACTGGATCAACAGTTGACCTTGGTAGATACACATTATTTAGGGTTTGGAAGTTTTCTCAACTCCAGTTCATATGATTTTACTGGATATAAGACTGTCTCTTTGTACTTGTGAACATTACTATAAAATTTAGTTACAGTGCCTTTCGAAAGTATTCGGCCCCCTTGAACTTTGCGACCTTTTGCCACATTTCAGGCAACATAAAGATATAAAACTGTAATATTTTGTGAAGAATCAACAACAAGTGGGACACAATCATGAAGTGGAACGAAATTTATTGGATATTTCAAACTTTTTTAACAAATAAAAAACTGAAAAATTGGGCGTGCAAAATTATTCAGCCCCCTTAAGTTAATACTTTGTAGCGCCACCTTTTGCTGCGATTACAGCTGTAAGTCACTTGGGGTATGTCTCTATCAGTTTTGCACATCGAGAGACGGAAATTTTTGCCCATTCCTCCTTGCAAAACAGCTCGAGCTCAGTGAGGTTGGATAGAGAGCGTTTGTGAACAGCAGTTTTCAGTTCTTTCCACAGATTCTCAATTGGATTCAGGTCTGGACTTTGACTTGGCCATTCTAACACCTGGATATGTGTATTTGTGAACCATTCCATTGTAGATTTTGCTTTATGTTTTGGATCAGTGTCTTGTTGGAAGACAAATCTCCGTCCCAGTATCAGGTCTTTTGCAGACTCCATCAGGTTTCCTTCCAGAATGGTCCTGCATTTGGCTCCATCCATCTTCCCATCAATTATAACCATCTTCCCTGTCCCTGCTGAAGAAAAGCAGGCCCAAACCATAATGCTGCCACCACCATGTTTGACAGTGGGGATGGTGTATTCAGGGTGATGAGCTGTGTTGCTTTTACGCCAAACATAACGTTTTGCATTGTTGCCAAAAAGTTCAATTTTGGTTTCATCTGACCAGAGCACCTTCTTCCACATGTTTGGTGTGTCTCCCAGGTGGCTTGTGGCAAACTTTAAACGACACTTTTTATGGATATCTTTAAGAAATGGCTTTCTTCTTGCCACTCTTCCATAAAGGCCAGATTTGTGCAGTATACGACTGATTGTTGTCCTATGGACAGAGTCTCCCACCTCAGCTGTAGATCTCTGCAGTTCATCCAGAGTGATCATGGGCCTCTTGGCTGCATCTCTGATCAGTCTTCTCCTTGTATGAGCTGAAAGTTTAGAGGGACGGCCAGGTCTTGGTAGATTTGCAGTGGTCTGATACTCCTTCCATTTCAATATTATCGCTTGCACAGTGCTCCTTGGGATGTTTAAAGCTTGGGAAATCTTTTTGTATCCAAATCCGGCTTTAAACTTCTCCACAACAGTATCTCGGACCTGCCTGGTGTGTTCCTTGTTCTTCATGATGCTCTCTGCGCTTTAAACGGACCTCTGAGACTATCACAGTGCAGGTGCATTTATACGGAGACTTGATTACACACAGGTGGATTCTATTTATCATCATTAGTCATTTAGGTCAACATTGGATCATTCAGAGATCCTCACTGAACTTCTGGAGAGAGTTTGCTGCACTGAAAGTAAAGGGGCTGAATAATTTTGCACGCCCAGAAACCATTTTACAGCATTTTGGAGTGTTTTTTGGAGAAAGTGGCGAGACAGCCGCATAAGAAGTTCATAGTTTTTGAGGAAAGCTCTTACACCTACAGCCAAGCCGACAAAGAAAGCAACAGAGTAGCAAGAGCTCTGTCAACTCATGCTGGCCTGAAGGAGGGGGACACGGTGGCCTTGTTCATGGGCAACGAGCCGCACTATGTGTGGATCTGGCTCGCACTGGTCAAGCTTGGATGCACAGCTTCTCTTCTGAACAACAACATCAGATCCAAATCTTTGCTACACTGCTTCTCCTGCTGTGAAGCCAAGGTCCTGGTCGCTGGTGCTGGTGAGCTGGGAAACTTTTGAGGCTGATGCTGATTTAAGAGATTGTACAGAGTGGGCCACAAAAAAAGCAGCCCGTCAACATGAAGGAGAAAGTGTATTGATTTGGGGGCGGGCTACTTTTCCATAGCCCACTTTGTATAACTATATATTGTTTGATATTTAAAATAATTCCTTTTAAAATGAAGGGAATTTGATCTAAATAGATAGAATTAGACACAGATAGATGTAGTATTGTGTAAATATATATATATATATATATTCATCCAGTATATGCTGCTATACATGCTATTTTATACTGCATATATAAGTTATTGATTTATTTATTTATACAATTATATACAATTAGCTGAGTTTCTGTCCAAACCTACATGGTCATTAAAGTACTTTGACATACAATTTTTTTTGTCAAACTTCTTAAGAAGACGGGCTCCATGTCCATGATTTTCCACATCTATTGTTATAGTTTTCTCATTACTGCATCGACCTCCATGAAGCTTCTGTTTTGCTTGTTTCACTCAGACCTGCAAGCAGCTGTAGAGGAGGTGCTGCCTGCTTTGAAACAACAGGGCATCCGTGTATTTATCCTCACTGAGGACTGCAGCGTTGAGGGCATTGAAAGCCTCTGTGATAAAATTCAGCAGGCCTCAGACCAGCCACTGTCACCTCAGCTGAGTGCCAACATTGACATTAAGAGTCCTGCACTGTACATCTTCACATCAGGAACCTCGGGTAATCTGCTTGACTTCTCTGACCTTCACTTCTAATTCAAAAGTTTATATTTTTAGTGTGCAGGTGTTGAAAGACACATGTGTGATAATAAAATTATTCTATGTTTGTTTCTTATGGCAATGCTATTTTGTAGGGCTTCCCAAGGCAGCTATAGTCAGCCATGAGAAGCTATGGATGACGTCTTTTGTGCTGTCACTTGTTGGCGTACGCTCAGATGATATTATTTACATTTACCTGCCTCTCTACCACGGTGGTGGCTTTCTGATGGGACTTTGTGGGGCCATAGAAAAAGGTCATGCACGAGTATTTCCCATATAAAACACGACCAACTTTACACAATGCTTTGCAAAAATATTATAAAATTACAAAACATGATTTCCAGGCTGCAACCTCATTATGACACTGAGTTCATTTAATGTTAAACTAACAGTCTATGACCTCAAATAAAAGGCACTTTGTCTCTGATTTTCTCTGTTTGTGTTTCAAAGTTCATAGATTGCAAAACCTACTGAATTCTGTGTGTGCAAATTTATGTTGTTGAAATCTGTGCTTCCTGATTTCTAGGCATCACTGTTGTTTTGAGGCGTAAATTCTCTGCCTCCCAGTTCTGGAATGACTGTAGAAAGTACAATGTGACAATCATTCAGTACATAGGAGAAATTATGCGCTATCTCTGCAACACACCAAAGGTAAACCTCTGCTCATACTGTCAGAATGAGTAGTATCTAAGGCAGTTCATCTAACAAGATGTTAACTATGTTGTTAAATCAAATACTACTGGATGAAACTTAAAAAGTGTGCAGGCTGAAGGATTCAGGCTGTTTATACTCCAAACCAAAGATGGACATAAGGTGATGTTTACTGTCCTTGTCTCACTTTACCTTCACTCTCCTCTAGAGGGACAATGACAGAGATCATAAAGTTCGATTGGCTTTGGGGAATGGGATCCGGGCCGACACCTGGGCTGAATTCCTGCAGCGATTTGGGGATATTCATATTTGTGAATGCTACGGATCGACAGAAGGAAATATCGGCTTTATCAACTATGTTGGGAAGATAGGGGCTGTTGGCAAAGAACATTTTATACACAAAGTAAGAGAGGGGGCAAATACTTTATTCTTATTTTGAGACGATGGTAGCATTTAGAACAATAAAATGAATAAGCATAACAGGCCAGTCAGTTTTATGTTCAGTGTGTTTCAATACCTTTAATTATTCTTTAGATGAGATATCCATATGCCCTTATAAGGTATGACCCAGAGAAAGAGGAGCCAGTCAAAGACTCCAGAGGATTTTGTATCAGAGTCCCCAGAGGTGAGCTAGTCTCCTCCACAAATATGACATTTTGTTGAGCTTTTCACACCAATAATATTGTGCTTGATGCTTTACCTTGCAGGAGAAACTGGTTTGTTGGTGTCAAAGATCGGAGAAAGAACACCTTTCAGTGGCTACGCCAAGAACGAGCAGCAGACAGAGAAGAAGAGGCTGAGAAATGTGTTTGTGAAGGGAGATCTGTACTTCAACAGCGGCGACCTTCTAAAGATAGACAACGAGGGATTTGTCTTCTTTCAAGACCGTGTTGGAGACACCTTCAGGTGCATGGATAAAACAACCTGAACACTCAGAGGCTGATCCACTAATGAAGACAAGGGGCCCACATTTGGAAACAGTGTTAGTTAGTAATGTCAAAGGCAGAACAAAGCCTGGACTGGATCAACAGTTGACCTTGGTAGATACACATTATTTAGGGTTTGGAAGTTTTCTCAACTCCAGTTCATATGATTTTACTGGATATAAGACTGTCTCTTTGTACTTGTGAACATTACTATAAAATTTAGTTACAGTGCCTTTCGAAAGTATTCGGCCCCCTTGAACTTTGCGACCTTTTGCCACATTTCAGGCAACATAAAGATATAAAACTGTAATATTTTGTGAAGAATCAACAACAAGTGGGACACAATCATGAAGTGGAACGAAATTTATTGGATATTTCAAACTTTTTTAACAAATAAAAAACTGAAAAATTGGGCGTGCAAAATTATTCAGCCCCCTTAAGTTAATACTTTGTAGCGCCACCTTTTGCTGCGATTACAGCTGTAAGTCACTTGGGGTATGTCTCTATCAGTTTTGCACATCGAGAGACGGAAATTTTTGCCCATTCCTCCTTGCAAAACAGCTCGAGCTCAGTGAGGTTGGATAGAGAGCGTTTGTGAACAGCAGTTTTCAGTTCTTTCCACAGATTCTCCATTGGATTCAGGTCTGGACTTTGACTTGGCCATTCTAACACCTGGATATGTGTATTTGTGAACCATTCCATTGTAGATTTTGCTTTATGTTTTGGATCAGTGTCTTGTTGGAAGACAAATCTCCGTCCCAGTATCAGGTCTTTTGCAGACTCCATCAGGTTTCCTTCCAGAATGGTCCTGTATCTGGCTCCATCCATCTTCCCATCAATTATAACCATCTTCCCTGTCCCTGCTGAAGAAAAGCAGGCCCAAACCATGATGATGCCACCACCATGTTTGACAGTGGGGATGGTGTATTCAGGGTGATGAGCTGTGTTGCTTTTACGCCAAACATAACGTTTTGCATTGTTGCCAAAAAGTTCAATTTTGGTTTCATCTGACCAGAGCACCTTCTTCCACATGTTTGGTGTGTCTCCCAGGTGGCTTGTGGCAAACTTTAAACGACACTTTTTATGGATATCTTTAAGAAATGGCTTTCTTCTTGCCACTCTTCCATAAAGGCCAGATTTGTGCAGTATACGACTGATTGTTGTCCTATGGACAGAGTCTCCCACCTCAGCTGTAGATCTCTGCAGTTCATCCAGAGTGATCATGGGCCTCTTGGCTGCATCTCTGATCAGTCTTCTCCTTGTATGAGCTGAAAGTTTAGAGGGACGGCCAGGTCTTGGTAGATTTGCAGTGGTCTGATACTCCTTCCATTTCAATATTATCGCTTGCACAGTGCTCCTTGGGATGTTTAAAGCTTGGGAAATCTTTTTGTATCCAAATCCGGCTTTAAACTTCTCCACAACAGTATCTCGGACCTGCCTGGTGTGTTCCTTGTTCTTCATGATGCTCTCTGCGCTTTAAACGGACCTCTGAGACTATCACAGTGCAGGTGCATTTATACGGAGACTTGATTACACACAGGTGGATTCTATTTATCATCATTAGTCATTTAGGTCAACATTGGATCATTCAGAGATCCTCACTGAACTTCTGGAGAGAGTTTGCTGCACTGAAAGTAAAGGGGCTGAATAATTTTGCACGCCCAATTATTCAGTTTTTTATTTGTTAAAAAAGTTTGAAATATCCAATAAATTTCATTCCACTTCATGATTGTGTCCCACTTGTTGTTGATTCTTCACAAAAAATTACAGTTTTATATCTTTATGTTTGAAGCCTGAAATGTGGCAAAAGGTCGCAAAGTTCAAGGGGGCCGAATACTTTCGCAAGGCACTGTATAAAGCACTTGAACACAGCCGAGGCCAACAAAGTGCTTAACATAAGATACAATTCAAAACATCTAAAAACGTGACAACTACAATATTAAAATACCAATAAAATAACATAAAAGAACCAACATAGCAAAATAACAAAATACTATCAACCAAAACTCAGCCCAAACAGAGTCTCATAGCATATCAAACGCCAAAGCATACAAGTGAGTCTTCAAGTAAGTTTTAAAAATAGCCAACGAGGCGGCCTGCCTGATGTAAAGGGGCAGCGCATTCCATAGCTTAGGAGCCACAATGGAAAACGCTCTGTCCCCTCTGAGTTTACGCCTGGCCCACGGTACCTCAAGCAAGAGCTGGTCAGCTGATCTGAGGCACCGAGAGGGACTATAAGGAAATAAAAGCTCAGCAAGATACAATGGAGCAAGACCATTCAAAGACTTAAAAACAAATAAAAGAATCTTAAAATGAATCCTGAAAGACACTGGAAGCCAATGAAGGGATGCCAAAATATGGACTTTGACAGTAAAGCTACATACCAGCACGTCCAAAATTTCCTCCCCAGCTATGCAAGACCACGCTTCATTCGCATACAGGTAAACAGTCATGTGGGAATTACTTACAAGATTATAGCATTTAACATTAAATCAGGAGTATGTATAACAAGGTCTTGGCACCATTATGGAACCATTTATTTTTGTGTGGCAGGACACAATGGCAATGACTGGGACATTTAAACAAATTAAGGTGACACTGGCAGAGGAGGGCTTCAACCCTACCATCATCAGAGACCCTTTGTTCTACCTGGAGAACAATAAGGGCTACGTACCCATGACTCCGGAGATATTCGACTCCATCTCAGATGGAAGAATGAGCCTGTGAAAGACTTCAGTGTTTTTATTGGAAAGCCAACCTTAAATAATACATCTGATTTTAGTTTTAGCTGATAGGAGGACCACAGTGTACTGAAATGTTTAAAGGGGTATAATTTTGTTTAAAATACTTTGAATAAAAAATATTTTAAAGACATGATTGTGAATGAGCAAAGTAATCCCAAGTCACTGACACATTAAAGTTGCAGTCATCACTTTGCCAAGACCTGACTCTGCTGGCTCAGCTCCGTCACAGCCAGCACAGTAATAAATTGCTTAATTATCAATACAGGAATTCTATGTGTGTATTTGAACTACTGTAAACTGCTTTCACAATCACTCCAGGAGCGTAGATGCAGTTGCACTTTCCAGGGACGGAGGAGGTGGAGCTGTGTTGGCTACAGGAGAAGATATACTGTTGAGTCTTCTGCAGGTAGATGACAAGTGTTTTTGACCTGTTTGTGATACTTTCAGAGGGCAGCAAAGTTGGTGCCGACCGCACTGCACCCATTGGTTGCAGAAACTGGGCACACTGTAGAACTTTGTTAGCTTTTTAAGAACCTGCCTACCCAAAACTTTGGAAGGCATCTCTGTAATCTTAATCATAGCACCAGATTCTGCTGTTGATGGCATGGGGAGGGCACCTGCAGCATCTTTAACATTTGGCCTTGTGTCAAAGTCATAGTGTGACAGAGGCCCAATGTAAGTGTAAGGCAGAGGCTCGCTGTTGCAGCTAAGAGAACGCATTGGTCTCCTAGATTGATTCCAAGCCTTGTCAATCCACAGCTCTACTTTGTCCCGCTTGGAAACAGCATCCTCTTTCTCATTAGACCTACGGTCTGAGTCTGGTTCTTGGTTTTCTTCAGCTCCTATGACCTCATCCTCCCCTGGTATTGGTTGGATTGCATTATTCAGAGTCTGTGTCTCAGCCAGAAGAGTGGAAGCCATTTTGGAGATGATGCTCCAGTCCTTAAGAATGTCATCAGCTGTAGTGAACTGGGAGGTCACTGTAAATCGGATGATGCGTTTGCTGTGAATGTCTGCAGGAATGAGATACATGGTGCCCGACCGGGTCAGTCTCCTCAGCAACTCCTGGGTCAACGCATTGCCTCCCTAGAATAAGAACATGACATAAAATATTGATAACCATTGCAGGACAAAAAAACTCAAAGCTTCCTAACAAACCTAAAGCATTTTCAGCAACATCAATTTAAGCGTGCAGCTCTGTTTAATTATCAGTAATATTGATCTGCATTTTTGCTTGATAAGAATACAACAGTTTACCTGATTTACCTTTGAACATGGTGTGACTGGACAATTTCTAAAGCTCATTAATAATTAGCCAGTGAAAGGCACATTGCTTAACAAAGATAAAACTTGAGTCAGCACAACCATTTTATAGTTTACTGCTTATAGTTCACATTTGTGCTCCATACTTTCAGACAGAAGACCACCAGAC